AATAATTATAAATCAGTCTCTTATAATTAAAGTCAAAATTTTTCTAACACAACCTTTCAAGTAGTTATAAGTGACTTAGTAGGGAACACTTTGGCTCAATTTTTGCTGCTGAATTTGCTTTAGTCTGCATACTAGTGGAAGAAAATCTTAAAATAAGTGTGAAGAAAAGAAATGCTTCTGACCTAGTGTAGAATAACCAATATTTAAGCTAACCTTTTCTTTTAACTGTTGTTAGAAAGTTCTAGTCTGGCTCTAAAATTTTTATCATGGTTGAAAATCGCTTGTTATATGAAAAATGGAGATTTTTTTTTTGAAGTGGACGATAATAATTTTATTCGTGTAACGTTTGCCCCATTTTTTTATAGAACTAAAATTTTTGTATGATATGATCGACGAAAATCATTACCAATTATACGAATGTCCACCATGCTTAGAAATTCTATGTTGGACTGATTTTTAAATTAAAATTTTTTTTTGTTGGTTTATTATGGCCTCACTCATTTCGTCAAGTTTGTTACAAAGAAGACTTTTATCAACTTCAAAAGTATATATATAGAGTAACATTCCTTCATAGAAATAATTTAATATGCAATGATTAATTATGTTTGCTTTATAGTTTGCCAGAGGATTTGCTTCCCCTTCAAGTTCAAATCCTATCAAGGTAGATTTTATTTATTATAATTTTTTATTATTAAATATTATTCATGGAGTAATAATTGAATTCTTTTTTTTGAACTAGGTTCCATTAATTCTTTATGGTATTGATGGAAGATATGCTACGGCTTTATATACAGCAGCATTAAAAAAAAACCATCTTAATGATGTTGAAAAAGAGCTTCATCATATTAAGGATTTAATTGAGAAAGATCAAAATATTAATAATTTTTTGGGGGATCCATCTTTGAGTAAAAATAAAAAAGAACAAGGAATCCAAAAGGTTTTAAGTCACCAGAAATATTCTGATGTTACAATAAATTTTTTTAAAGTTTTAGCAGAAAATAATAGGCTCAATGAAACATCCAAAATTATCGAAGCATTTAATTTAATAATGACTGCTCATAGAGGAGAGGTTCCTGTTAATATAATTACTGCAAAAGTATTGGTTTTTTTTAATTACAAAATTTAATTATAATTTATAATTTAATTGATTAATTAATTGACTTTTTATTTTTATTAGGAAATTGAATCCAAAATTTTAAATCAATTAAAAACTCAACTTGCTAAAAGTAAATTTGTTAATCCCAATCAAAAATTAATCGTTAAAAATAAAGTAAGGTTTATTTAATAATATTTAATATTCTTGTTAAATTATTAATTGTTAATTGTTTAATTACTTATTAGGTTAACCCTTCAATTCTTGGTGGTTTGATTATTGAATTTGGAGATGATAAAACAATTGATTTATCAGTTGCATCAAAATTTTCAAAATTAAACAAAATATTAACTGGTAAAATCCTATTTTTTTAAACATTGATTTTATATTTTAATTAATTATTAATTTAATATTAACTGTGTATATATATTTATTTATATATAAAAGATGCTATATAAATAATAAACTATTTATTGTCATTAATAAAAGCTTGCAACATTTACTAATAAATAAAAATCCAATTTTTAAAAAAATAGAGTTATTTGTAATTTTACAAAAAAAAATGTTTTCTGACAATTTTTCACATGGTCTTTTTTATTTAATGGTTGCAACAATATTGTGCTTTTATTACTAGTTGGGCTCATATTCTTCAAGGTTAAATTTGGTTTATAAAATTTTTTATTAAAATTTTGATATATGTATTGTTATCATTTTATTACAAAATCAAAAAGATCCACCTGATGCAATTTTAGGCTTATAAAAAAGATACCAATCCCAAAAACATGAATTTGGGAGTTGGTGCCAATAGAGATGACCATATGTTTTGAATTCTGTCAGAAAGGTTCAATTAAATTAAATTAAAATATTTAATCTCCATTGATGAAATTAATGTGTCAAAAAAAAATTGATTTATTATTTATTATTTAAAGGGAGAAAAAAATTACTTGATCAACTTGATAAGGATATTTTCAAATTACCAGTCTTTCTAGTTTACTCAAGGTGCAGCTCTTTTGGCTTACAGTAAAGATTCTGAACCTTTAAAAATGGATTAGTAAGCTGATGAACTTTTGCTAATAAAAGGTTTCTTTTTAATAAGTATAATTAACTAAAACGCATTTTCTTTATAGATTTCAATCACTCAATCAATTTCAGGAACAGGAGGAGCTCTTAAAATTAGAGGAGTGTTTTTATCTAGATATTATCCATATGCTAAAAAAATCTATTCACCTAAACCAACATGGGGCAATCATAATGCTGTATTTAAAGATTACAGTTTAGAAATAGATTCATACAGATATTATGATAAAACCAATGGATTTAATTTTAATGGATTGCTAGGTATTAATTAATTAATCAATAATAAGAACATGTTTCTTTATTATTTTTTGTTGATTATTTAATTATTACTAATAATAATAATAACATGTATGATTAGAATGCACCAAAAAACTCAACATTTTTGTTACATGCCTGTGCACAGGAGTAGATCCAACCCAACAACAATGGTAAAATTATAAAATTGCCTAAACTATATGGGACATGCTGCCAGACAAAGTGAACATTGGTATTACCAAAGATTTCAGGGATCAATAGTGTTTGTTTAACATAACAATTGTACAATTCAATCTCTCTATAACGGCCCGCCTGATTTGGCAAAAAAGGCCGTTATAGAGAGAGACTGTTATAGAGAGTTTGCAGATCATAGTCATGTGATAAATTATAATGTGATACAATATAAAGATTTTATTTTATAAAATATATTTAAAAATAAACTATTTATAATTTGCATACTTATTCAATGTTAAAAAGGCTATATAGTGTGGATTGTTGTTGTGAGTTAAAATCCATTTTTTTAATTTTTCTTTTAATAATTTAAAATCGTCCTCATTTAATTCTGATTGTTGGTCATGTAAATTTCTAATGTTGTTTTTATTGCTGACAAGACTTCTTTATTTGTAACAGGTGGAAGTTCTTTGATTATTTCTTCCTGGCTTTCATTTTCCTCTGGTGGATTAATTATTGTAACTATGTCATTTAGATTTATTTCATCACTTACATGAGAGTCATCAATTTCAATGTATTCAGATGTGGATATAGGATTAGGGAGTGCAAGAGCTCTCTTACATTCAATGAATTTAAAATTGATGACATATTTTCAATTTTGTTGGAATTAATATCATAATCAGGTAAAATCCCAGTTTTTTTCCAGCAGTTAACTATAGTTTGACTGGTACCTTTTTTCCAAGCTTTTGCTGTAAATTTAATTGCATGTTTAATTGAAATTTATTCATATTTTTGACCATTTCTCTCTTCTACATAATCACTAATTTTTTTTTTGCAAGAAAAGCTTTTTGTAGTTCACCTTGAAGCTGTTAATTATCCCGGCATCACATGGTTGTAAAAATGTTGTTGTGTTTGGTGGTAAGAAGTAAACTCTTACATTAGTTTAAATTTGTTGATTCAGAAATAGAATGAGTGGGAGCATTGTGACTGACAATAAGCGCGTTCAAATTATTAATAATTGAGTGTGACACATTGAATTTCTTAATTTGATAATGATTACCTCAGATCATGATCGTCAGTTGTTATAGACAACATATAAAACACATATCCACCGATTTGCGCAACCTAATGGGGTACAAAATTTTGAAACAACAAAATTTAGGGTTCTTGTCGATCGTCACCAAATGTAAAATTATTATTAATAATTAACGCAAAAATTCACAGTAGACAAGAGAAGTGAATGATAAAAATTATTAAAAATATCTTTTTGCATTTTGGGAAAAGATCCTATAAATTTTAATTAAGGCTCTAACCTATTTTATTCTATAATGAACTTTTATTAATTAAATTAATGCAAGAATTACTTTTCAAATTTTATATATTATCAGATGATTTCCCGAACAGGTACTTTAATTAATACAAGTTAATTTTTATTGCTTATAATAAAAATATAATAATCTTATTGTTATATATATATAATAAAAATAATAAATTGATTATCTCGAATAAATTAATAATAATAAATATAACAAAAATTGTTCATCACATTATTCATTACAAGGAATCTTTCTCAACATCAAGAAGATAAATATCAGATTCCTGTTTTCTTTTATTAATTCAAAAAAAGACTTAGTCTTTTGAAAAGATAAATTGGGAAAGACTTAGTCAGATTACTTTAATTCATTTTCAAATTTTTTTGACAACAATTAAGATTTTATCTTTTAACATTGAAAAATAAAATCAAGATTCCTGTTTTTTTAATTCATTTCCAAAAAGACTTAGTTGATTTCTTTTCTTTGACAACAGTTAAAAAAATTTTTCTTTAATTTTGACAACAATAAGAAAATAATTAATCACAAATTATCCTTATTGCAAAAATTATTATCAAGAAATCTTTACAGGTTTTTTAATTAACACTTGAAAGATAAATCAATTCTTTTTTTAATTAGTAGATGTAAGGAAATTATAAATAAATAATCATAATGAGTATTTGCTATATAATAAACCAATGCAATAATAAAATTTGCAAAAAAGTATTTTTAAAAAAATTGACTTCTTCATCTTCAAATGCATCAAGCTCTAATTTTGAAACACATAATTATCCTTCGAATAAAAAAATAACATATAAAACCCCTAATAATTCATTCGTTTATAATATTATTAATGAAGGTATTTATCCTGATGTTCCAAAATATACTCAGGCCAATTCTAATGGATGTAAGTATCCTATACCTGATGAGTACTTAGTCGAAACTGAATTTGGAAAAAAGAAGCATATACTCAGATGTTCTACTAAATACCATGATGATAGGCCTGTATATTGTTTGAATTGGAATGATAGTGAAAATGAAAATCACCAAGTAACATCAGAAAAATCAGCAACAGATGCCACTCAAAAATATTTGAAGGTATTTCAATAAAATTCCCATTCCTTTTGTTTATAAATATGTAATTTTAAAAGTGATTTAACATATTATTTATTACAATAGGAAATTGATAAAAAAACTACTAGAATGTCTGGAGTTTTGTTATTTGGGTTTCAGCTTCAATGTGTACATAATCAACGCATTAATAAACAAAAACACAATACAATTATTCCCTTTGAAGAAGTAAAAGATTCTACACATAGAAGTCATTTAAAAGTCTTTGGAAAAATTATATTAGATGATTTTAATGAATCATCAGATAGTATTTTAAATTCCAATTCAAGTGAACTTATTGGAATTACATTAAAAATTAATGATCAATTATATTATCTTTGCTTTAAAGAAGATGATGATGGAAAGAAATTATATGCTGAAGCAGTGGTTCAACAACTTGATCAACACAATATATAACAAAGTGGATATCATAGTCTAGCAAAACTTGAACCTAATTTACCACGAGAAAATATAACATCAAATGTAAAAAAAGAAATTACAAACCTGATGAATGCTGAAATTCCCATAAATCCAATTAATATTTATTCACAAGATGTTGATGAAGGTGAAAATGAAAATGAAGAGGATGAAATAGAAGAACATGATAATTTAGATGTTGAACTTGAAAATGAAATTATAAATGCTCAAGGTGAAGGCAGATATCGCAGTATAAAGAAAATTTTAACATTTGTAATTAAAATGCTAATTAATCAAAAAGTACTTGGTTATACTTTGGATGATAATGTTCATATTAGAATATCTGGAGATGGAAGAAATGTTGGTAAAAAAATCAAGCATGTCATGATTACATTTGCAATTATGAATAATAAAAATGCTATTTTTCTACCAGATCATCATTATAGCTTAGTACTATATTCTGGTATTGAAAAATATGAATATTTGCAAAAAGCTTTACACCAACTTATAGAAGAGCTTGATGATATTGACAAGAATGGATTTATTGATTCAATTGGGCAAAAATGGAGAATAACTATATACTTTAGCAGTGATTGGAAATTTTTATCAATTTGTTTAGGAATAAACAATGCAACTGCAAATCATTTTTGTCCATGGTGTCTGTGTTCAAAATTTGATCATAGTAAATTAGAGAAAGAATGGAAAATTTCAAAAAAAATGGAAATCATAAAAGTCAATTATCAGGCATATCCAGGACATAAGCTTCAACCCTTGTTCCCTATGATTCCATTAACTCATTGGATTCCAGATGAATTACATTTGATGCTTTGTATTACTGATCGTCTTTGGGTTCTAATGTTACCTGAAACAAATTACCAAAGTTCTGAAGAAACAAGGGAACAAATAAAGAAAGAAATGCTTAGAATTGGTGTACATTTCCAATTTTGGCAAAACCCAGATTCAAAGAATTGGAGTTATATCAGTCTTATGGGTAATGACAAATTAAAAGTTCTAAAAAATTTTAATTCAGAAAGTGTTTTACCTGAGAATAGATCAACTATAATTCATCAATTGTGGAATGGTTTTGATAATCTTTATACAGCCTTACAAGATCCTACAACAGACCCAATTGTTTTTAAAAATCAAGCAAAATCATGGTTGACTAAATTTCTAACACCATCAATAGGAGATCCACGTAGAAGAAACTATGTAAAAGGGTTATACACAAATAATGATGTGACTCCTTATATTCATGTGTTGGTTCACCATATGTATGAGTTTATGACAATTCATAACAATTATGGAGTTAAGGCATTCACATGCAGTCCTGTTGAAAAAAAAAACCATATGCAAATAAGTAAATATTTTAGAAAAACCTTGAAAGATGGTGGAAAGGGGAGAAAAAAGGCTGTAATTGAGATTTTAGAACATG